CTGCTTAGCCATGTGGCTTTTGGCTTAGCTGTAAAACTAGAACTGGTGATGGTACTCATCTACTTTGAGAAGCTGTTGAAGGCTCACATGTAAAACATGTCATGGAGATGCTCAAGGCATCTTAGCTATTTGTATATTATAAATAACAAAGGCTTCTGCACCCCTCCACTTCTGGTTTTCTGGTCATAAAGTGGAGATAAGAGTCTCCCAGACTTTCCTGCCTGGGCTGGCTTTGAACCACCATCCTCATCCTCAGATCGAAGCCTCCTGAGTAGCTAGGATTACAGGTGTGAGCCACTAGAGCCTGGTTAGCTGTAGAAGATTTAACCCAAGGCATCAACTTAACTGAACCTTAGTGAGATTGCTCACAGTAAGCAGTTAGCACAGAAACAGCGCCTTTTGCAAAAAGAACTGAAACAGTAGGTCTTTATTTCATGAGTCAGGGGTGTTTCCTTTCACTGAGAAGCCCTGGGCTATTTTTACTCAAGGACCTATAGAGGGGTATGCCTGGAGAGCCTCTGTCCTCCAGCACTACCTGCACTCTGCATACTCCCTGTAAACTAGAGGTCATCCCATGAGAAGGGATGGCAGGTTCAGAGAGCCTGTAATCAGACACTTACGCAGAAGCAAACTCCAAGGTGGATCGCCAGAGGATAGTGGGAAATGAGATAGGGACTTGTTTGCTGGAGCTAGGATACAATCAGAGGCCTAGACTTCAGAAACAAGGTAGACCCAGCGTCTGCTTCCCAGATATCTGTTGAAGGTTGGATGAGTCACACTCTGGCTTTGATGCTGAGCACCTAGCAACCCCCATGTGGTTTTGTCCAGTCTCAAAGATTAGCAAGAGAACTCACCTGGCTGATGGGCTGTCTGCCTGGCATGGCCCTCCCTACCTTTGTCACTGGTGAACTCATGCATTCTTTAAGACTCAGCTCAGTTGTCCTCTCTCCTCTGCTGCTTAGTCTGGTGGATTTCATCTTGGCAATATTTGCTCTCTAGAGTTCGTTGCCTCCCTGCCGTAGGCACCCACGGCACTAGTTACAGACCATTGTGGCATTGCATCATCTTGGCTTGCAATAGAAGCTTAGAAGTCTATAATAGACTGAAGTCTGAGTTTATGGCTCCTCCATTTCCTAGCTGAGTGGGCTGGAGAAGATTTATTGTCTGTGGAATGGGTTCTTATTTACTTTCCAGTACATGTGTGTGTGTGTGTGTGTGTGTGTGTGTGTGTGTGTGTGTGTGTGTGTGTCAGTACTTGGGTTTGAACTGAGGACTTCTTGCTCTCACTTGGTGCACCCACCTTTCTCAGTATCTAATTTCTATTATGTATTCAGCAAGTATTGGATGAATGAGTACATTATACTTAATCGTGTATAATTAGATTAATTGAGTAGTCTGTTCATTCTATCATATTTATTGATGCACACCCAACCATTTCTAAAAATCATTTCTCAAGTAGCTGGTATTCATTAAATATTGAGTGGGGAAAGAAATCTAAGGGAAAATAAAAAGCATCGAGAATAGCAAAGAGGCATACGATGGCACGTGCCTGTAATCTCAGTTAAGAGGCAAGAGGATCTTGAATCTGTATTCAAGGCCAGCCCTGCACCACAAGATGAGACCATACATAGAAGAAGAAGGAGAAGGAACAAATAAGGAGAGGGAGAAAAGGAAGAAAAAGGAAAGCAGACTCAGAGGCCTACTCCTCTGCCTGGGAACTCTGGCAGAGCAAGGGGCCATCCACTTTGCTCTTCTAAGAGTCCTCCAGCTTCCTCCACATTGCTCTCTACATGCTTGGTATATGATACGTCATCCTGTGATTGTAGATCACTCTACCGTCACAGATGCAACGGTGAAGTAGAGAGGACAGGTATGCCCTGCCCAAGGTCAAGGTCATTGTGCTGGTCAGTGTAAGAACATGGTGAACACTGGGCACACTGCTCAACTAGCATGCAAGGTGAGCCTGGTAAAAAATTTGCCAGGGTCCTGCTGCCAACCTTTTTGGCTCTTAATGGACACCTGCTCATGTTGTCATCCTGGACAGGGATGGGATTTAAAAAGAAAAATCACAGGTGAAGCAAGAAAGTGAAGCAGTGAGCGGCCATCACCTTCAGATTGCACTGCAACGTTCAGACGGCAACTAGTCCTCTGGCCCTCCTCATTGGGATCTACCAACACCAGGGCCTGGCCACTCTGCTCTGCTCTGCCAGTTTCTCTTCTTGACTCTTCTCCTCTTTCTCTGCTGCCTCTTGGATTCTATTTAGTGCCCCTCTGTTTCCTCTGAGTCCCTCTTGACCTATCTCTCCACCTCTCTAAGAGATCACGCGTGATTGGTTTCCCATTCATCATCCACTGTGCGAAGCAGCTGGGCGGGTAGCACCTTCTCCCAGCAGCTTGTTGGCTGCCTTTGAATCAGCTGACTGTCTTTGGTCCTGGTGTCCCTGGTGAGAGTAGAAGATTCAACTGATGGGAGATTATAAGCTCTGTCTTGGTGAAAGCCAATTACATGTATATTACACGAAGAAGAAGAAGGAGAAGGAGAAGGCTGTTTATCTGCAATATTTGTACCACCTGGATTTCTTTTTATTCAGCAAAACTGTGCATCCTTCTAAGCTCCAGCTATAATTCAAATTTCACCATATCCTACCTATAATAAAATGTAAGGTTTTCTGAGTCTCAGTGGTTAGAACTTGCTGAATTCCTTCATTTACCATGCATTACACTGAGTACCTTATTTATAACACAACTCATTTAAATTGTGTTAATTAAATTCATTATGGACCTCCTAGGTAAGCATCTTTATCTCCTTTTTGTAAGCAAAGGATCTTTGGCACAAAGAGGATAACATTTCATATCTCACAGAGGAATTCCAGGAGGGGAAAGAATAGCAATTGCTAGTATTCTTAAGCCTTTTACACATATTATCTAAGTTAATCCTTCCAAAATCCTATGACGATTCTTCAAGTGCAGTTATGACACTCATCTTAGTAGCTAAGTAACTTGCCCAAGTAACAAGTTACTTAGCTACTAATAAATGATAGAGGTAGCCTTCCACCTTCTAGATCTTTCTAATTCCAAAGCCTGTATTCACCCAGCTCCTCATTTCCTTCCCAAATTTTATATTTCTCAATACCTAACCCTCCACTACCTTCACTATCTTCTTTATCACTGAGATAGACCCTTGTTAAGTAAAATAAATATATTAGATTAAACCCTTGTAAGTAAATGTATGTATATGTTTACTTCTATATATACTATATAATCATGTACATATGATTAATTCTCCTTAATGGTGCAACATTTAATGGGGTGGAATTTTTCAAATGGTTTTCTCATGTCAGAGATAAAATCTCTCAGGGCCTTATCAGCTGGATTTGCATACCAAACACGTCATTGCTAATGAAAGAGAAAAGAAAGAATGCCCCAGCCCTGGGGTGAGTCTGTGGAAGTGCAGAGTCCCCCGCCCTAGCTTGGTGCACCCTGACTCTCACTAGCAGGAGCTAGAGTTGCGAGCTGTGTGCGTACGGCCTTTTGTCTATTCATGAATTATTCATTGAGGCGCCAGAATTGGAGGAAAAAGCCTTTACCCTCACATGGAAAATAGATGTCGCTACACACCCAGCCCCCTCCCCTTCCCACCCCAGAGAGGGTCTGAGGCTGGTAGTAGCCAGTGGTTTGAGTGGCTGGACTAGCCAAATAACCCTGGAAGGGGGAAAAGGGAGAGAGCACCTTCCACAGAACCTGATTTGCATGAGAAAGACCTAGTCAGCCATCTCCTGAGAACTTGGCTCCAGGTCAGGGGAAACCCCACTGCCTGGGGGGAAGAAAGGGAAGCTGGGAAGGTTTGACAGAAACTCCCCAGGAGATGGGGGGGAGGGGTTAGTCTGGAAACAACTAGGCCTCCAGCAGGGCTCCCGGTTCAGCTGTGGCCTGCTAGCTCAGTAGCCTTCTGCTTTTAACTCAGCTCACCCAGGCTGTGTTCAAGCTGTGTGGGATGTTATGGAGTTCCTAGAACAAGCGAGATTAGGAGCCACATAGATACATTTATGTCTCATATGGGCATGTTGTGTGCCTGATGTTGTTGTTGTTTGTTGGTCATGGGTCTTGAACTATGGGCCTGGGTATTGTCCCTGAGCACTTTAATGCAAGGCGAGTGCTCTATCACTTGAGCCACTTGGTTTTCTGGTGGTTAATTAGTGATAAGAGTCTCACAGATGTTCCTGCCCAGCCGGCTCTGAATCGCGATCCTCACATCTCAGCCTCCTGAGAAGGATTACAGGTGTGAACCACCAGCACCCGGATTGTGTTTGTTTTATTATTCAGTAATTTTGTACTTTTGGGTGGCACAAGATTTGAACTCATGGTCTTGTGTTTGCTAAACAAGCACTCTATCACTTGAATCACCTCTCTTATCCCTGAACCTATTTTGAGTGCCCCTCTAACTCACCTTTCAACACACACACACACACACACACACACACACACACACACACACAATTCTGTAGGAGCTTTTATGTGCAGGTAAGTAGTACAGACCAGGAGGAAATGAATGTATGCAAAAGGAAGCACTATTGCTAGGCACTGGTGGCTCACATCTGTCACCCTAGCTACTCAAGAGACTAAGATCTGAGGATTAAGATTCATATCCAGCCTGGGCCCGAAAAATCTGTGAGACCCTTATCTCCAATTAACCAGCAAAAGGTTGGAAGTAGAGCTGTGGCTCAAGTGGTAAAGTGCTAGCCTTGCACAAAAGAGCTGAAGGACAACATCCAAGTCCTGAGTTGAAGCCCCACACAGGAAGGAAGGAAGGAAGGAAGGAAGGAAGAAGGAAGGAAGGAAGAAGGAAGGAAGGAGGGAGGGAGGGATGGAGGGAGGGAGGACTATTAATTATTAGGAATTATTAATTGTCTCCCATTTTGGGATACTCTGAATGAAGAAATGAAATGATGGCAAGAGAAGAAGATAAATGAGACGCTGCAAACTGCTGTACTGTCTTCCAGGTTTTACATCGAGAGTATATCCTTTCTAAAAGAGAAGAGCACGGTGGAGCTATTCTTCCTGAATGCCAAGGCCTGTGTGCACAAGGTAGGAAAGTTTCTGCACATCTGTAGGGCTCTGCTCTGAAGTTTCTCTGTTCTCTGTAGAGTTCTCTCTCTGAAGCTTCTCTGTTGGATGCTGTGTGCTGCACATTCTACTAATTCTATTCATTTCATCTTTTCTTTTTGATCCTCTCTGTCTTCCCATCCACACAGTCTAGAACCTTCTTTTTTTTTTTTTTCTAAACCTTCTTGTAACCATAGGTGGGAAGGTCATAGGTTCACTCTCTTGGATGATTAGCTGTTCTGTGTTTTGAAAACTCTTATATATCTTGTTGGATCTTTTAGGTTTGATTTTCTTTTTTTAATTTCAGATGAGCAAATACTGATTCAGTCCCTGCCTCTCCATCTTAGCCACACCAGAAGCAGAATATGTTGCTTATTCTAAGGAGAAAATAAATGTCTCAGGCACTAAGGCCCGCTCTCGAGCCCACTTTTTTGAGACCTGGGTTTCCCTCTGAACTCCAAGGGTTGATGGATGATTCCGTCAGAGCAACTGCAGCACTTTCTGAGTCAGGAAAACATTCCATCATCCACAGCCAGCCATCCTCTCCTCTGAGGGGGAACACAATAGCTCCTTGTGGTATTTTTCATTGTGTAGTAGGCCATGGTCCAACAAAATCGCTTCCTGGTTGCTTGTTTGCTCTGTTGCTTAGGCAAAGAAAGTTAGCAGGCAAATTTTTAACTCATAACTATTTCTCTTAGAGCTCTGTATGCTAAACTCTGGCTGGAGAAAATAATGAAAAGCAAGGCTTTTAACTTCTCTTTCTTCTTATGAGTGTTAGTTGTGGGGAACTCCTTTTCTAAGCAGAAACATCTTGCGCCCGTGTCAAAAGAATTTATGCCAATCACTAGTGACTCATACCTGTAATCCTAGCTACTCAAGAGGCAGAGATCTGATGATTGACATTTGGAGGCAAGCCCCAGGAAGAAAAGTCAGTAAGACTAAGATCTCTAATTAATTATCAGGAAAAAAGCTGGAAGTAGAACAGTGGTTTAAGTGCTAGAGCACTAATCTTGAACAAAAAAGCTTAGGGATAGTGTCCAAATCTTGACTTCAAGCTTCAGGACTGGCACAAAAAGGGGGGGAAATAGAATTTTTGGCAAACAAATTTTGCAAAACCTTATTATTATCCTACATAAGTGTCATAGGACACAATGAGTGCTAATAAAAAATTTTTAATTCAGTACTTGGAACTCAGGACTTGATATAGCCTATCTACTTAATATGTAGACAGCAGGCAACAGATCTTACAGAATCAGGTAAACCTTAACAGAGGCAGACAGCTATTCATTAGGGCAGCTTTTAAGTCATTTTTAAAGATATACACATTCCATCTAAGGAGTATCATCTGCCGGGCGCTAGTGGCTCACGCCTGTAGTCCTAGCTACTTAGGAGGCTGAGATCTGAGGACCGGTTCAAAGCTAGCCCTGGCAAGAAAGACCATGAGACTCTCATTTCCAATTAACCACCTAAAACTGGGAAGTGGAGCTGCAGCTCAAAGTGGTAGCCTTGAGCGAAAGAGCTTGGGGACAGTGCTCAAACCCCCATGACAGATTAAAACAAAACAAAATAGCCATATATATATATATATATATATATATATATATATGCACACACACACACACACACACACACACACACACATATATATACATAATCTGAACAATGGTCATAGAAGTAAATAAGTTTTATGAGAACATAGCTCAGCTGTAGAACACACGTAGGTGGATTTATTGATTGGTAAAAGTGACTCATTGATGGCGGTTGGTGCTCTTGACTCAGAACAACTATTAGCTGTGAGAGTGAACGGGGACCTTCCCCCCACACTCTGCGGGGGACATTCCTACCTCCAGAAAATGTCCAACTCCTCTTACAGCACCTATACATGCTTCTTCCTACCAGACAGATACCCCTCCTTCATCTTCTTTCTGCTTTTCTTTTTGTACTCAGGGCCTAGGCACTGTCCCTTAGCTTGAGACTGCCACTCTACCACTTGAGCCATAGCTCCACGTCTAGCTGTTTTCTAGTCAATAGGAGATGAGTATCCTGGATTTTTTTTTTTTCTGCACAGGTTGGCTTTAAACTGTGATTCTCCAATCTCAACTTCCTGAGTAGCTAGGATTAGGGACATTAGCCACCATCCCTACGGACACCCTGCATCTTGATGGATGTTAATTGCCTGCCCCATGGAGAGGCATGTGGCATCTTGAATTTGGGCTCCCCGTCTCTCTCCATTGCGATCACTCTACCTGTCGATGCTCTTAGTCTGCGGTGCTTTTATACACAGGGGCTCAGAGGGCTTCTCTAGGCCAGGCCTCAGGACAAGGCACCACTGCAGTCGCAATTGAGGAGTGCATTAGCACTCTTGCTTGAACAGAATCTACAGGAAAAGAAGAAACTGTCCCTAGTGACTAGCCATCCTGAGAGGAGCCTGGCTCTTGTCAGAGCTGTCATTCACGTGTGAGCCCCAGCCCATGTACCTGTTTAGCTTCCCTGGTGAGAAGGCATGGGGCACACCTTGCCTTCGCAAACAACCACCTAGGCCAGGTGGGGATGATGTGGAAATGCCGAAACTGACATTAGAGGCGCCCTGGCAGCCCTCACCCGGCAGGCCGGGGTCCACCGGGGTCAAACTGCTGTCACAGCACGTGGAATAGCACAGCAGGCCTGCCTGCTGGGGTGTACAGTTCATAGAGACTTCCTTGTACATCTCTGATTTTAGTGATCGGCCAGCATTTACTACCACCACTTAAAAAAAATATCAATCATTGGGGCCGGGCACCAGTGGCTCACACCTGTCATCTTAGCTACTCAGGAGGCTGAGATCTGAGGATCATGGTTCAAAGCCAACCCAGGCAGGAAAATCCATGAGACTCTCATCTCCAATTAACCACCAGAAAACAAGAAGTAGCTCTGTGGCTCAAGTGATAGAGTACATGCCTTGAGCTGAAGAGCTCAGGGACAGTGCCCAGGCCCAGAGTTTAAGCCCCATGACCAACAACAACAACAACAAATCAATCATCGCAACAGAGAATTGACATTGGCCCCCATGTTCCTTTTGGTGTGTACAAAATTCTGATGATGGTGAAAAGACAAAATGGAAACAAACAAATGGGACTGGTGAGGTGCTCTGTGGTAGAGACTAGGCACAGCAAAAGCTCCCTTTCCTGCAGAGGTGGGAAATAGAAGAAAATGGCAGAACCTGATTGACTCCCAAAGGCCTGTGTGTTATAGCATGTACTTGAATGGGGATTGTGGAACACCAACATATTCTCTCTCTCTCTTCTCTCGCTCTCTTCTTCCTTCCCTCCTTCCCTTTCCCTCCTTCCTTCTTTCCCTCTCCTATCCTTCCCTCTGTCTCTCCCTTCCTCCTTCTCTTCCTCTCTCCAGTGCCCTTCTCTCTCTCTCCTGTTCCCTTTTCTCTCTCTTCTCCTTTTCTCTTTCCTCATTCTCTCTCTTCTCTCTCTTCTACAAGTCCATCCATCTTTCCTGGCCATAAAGAGAGTAGTTTTACTCTGCGAGCCCAATCAGTCATAGACAAGAACCTCCAAAACCATGAGCTTAAATAAGCCCTTTCTCTTCATTATTTGATGATCTCTGGTATTTTGTTATAGGTGTGGAAAGTTGACTAATATATAGCTCTATTCTACTGAGTACTCACGAGTGTAGCAGATTTTACCCTCATAACAAAGTATTACTACTTTGGCATATGGGGAAATGGAGGTATTGATATGTACAGCCAAGGTTGTATACTCAGTAGTAACATCATGAGACTAGGCATTCAGGCTCCAGAAACCATTCATTTATTCAAATAATTACTGCATACCTAAAATACTCATCAGAGGTCCTGGAACTTTGTCTTATCATTGTACTATTTAACACACCTTCCTACAGTCTAAGAATCCTGGCTTATGGATTTTTAAACTTGTGTGTTTGTATATAATAATTATTTTAAAGGTAAAGCATCCATATTTTGGGGGTTGGGTCCGGTCGTGGGACCTGAACTCTGGGCCTCGGCACTGTCCCTCAGCTCTTCAGCTCAAGGCTAGCACTCTACCACTTGAGCCACAGCGCCACTTCTAGGTTTTTTCTTTTTGCTTATGTGGTGCTGAGGAATCGAACCAGGGCCTCAGGCATACATGGCAAGCGCTCTACCACTGAGCCATCTTCCCAGCCCCAAGCATCCATATTCTAAGACATGATATTTCTGAAAGATGCCAGAGACCTTGGAGAGGCTGAGCCTCCCATGATTCTACCACTTACTCTTTCCCAAAATGACAGAAAAACAGGTGAGAACATTCTGCAATATGGGAAATCTCACAAACAGAATTATGGCTTTATAATCATTCACACACACACAAATACTGTACTTTAGCTGTATAGAACCTATCTCATGATCACAAAGTATTTTAATGCCCCAAAGAGTATATACAGTATATACAATACCAAACTTTTTTTTTTTTTTTGGTCGGTCGTGGGGCTTGAACCCTGGGCTTGGGCGCTGTCCCTGTGCTCTTCAGCTCAAGGCGAGTGCTCTACCGCGTGAGCTACAGTGCCACTTTCAAACTTTTTTTTTTAAGGAGGAGGAAAAAAAATAGCAATTTTTTTTTTGGGGGGGGTCCAGTCGTGGGGCCTGAACTCTGGGCCTGGGCGCTGTTCCTCAGCTCTTCAGCTCAAGGCTAGCGCTCTACCACTTGAGCCACAGCTCCACTTCCGGCTTTTTTCTTTTTGCTTATGTGGTGCTGAGGAATAGAACCCAGGGCCTCAGGCATGCAAGGCAAGCGCTCTACCACTGAGCCACCTTCCCAGCCCAAAAAATAGCAACTGTTATACCACTTTCATGGCACTAAATTCAGTGATAGATTCAGGAAGTCCCATAACAGGGCTAGGAATATGGCTCAAGTGGTAGAACATGAAGCCCTAAGTTCAAACCCTAGTGGTATTAGAGTAAGTAAAATGGTTTGATTTGTTTAACCCAATAATTA